CTGAGATCAACTCTGTGCTCCATTTCACAGAGTCTAATTCACTTCTCCTGTGGTTAGTCTGTGGAGATTTTTACAACAGAAGCAGATGGGAAGACCTATCCAGGGATGTGAAGTGCTCTGACTAAGCTCACAGACCAGTAAGGGGCAGATCTGGAGTTAGAACCCATAACAAAATGTGCAAAAAGCTGGAGTTAAGCTATTCCACCACTTGGAATATACCCTGAGAATATAATTAGGTATTATTGTCATGACAGGAGTCCAGAATGAAGGCTGCACAGTGGAGTGGACTTGGGGGGAGGGATTGCATAATAATGAAAGAATTTTTCTTTTACTTTTCAAAGAGAAGAGCAAACTGGCAGGGGGAGGGGTGGACGGGGAGAAAAGTGAAATAGTGAATGAATGGAAATCCAAAGTCTCTGTAAACTTTCATGAAAAGTAATAAAAAAAAGTAAGAAAAAAAATCAGTTATGGTGCCTTTGGTCGCTCGCTCCTCTACTAACTGGATAACTGTGGCAATTCTAGAGCGAATAAATGCCGACAGGTACTGACCCCCTTCACAGGGGCTGGGGGGGATGTGTACATTTATCAGATCAAAACCAACCTGGTGAGCTCCCCTCTGGCCCCAACTGGGGGCAGGTGCCGGCCGCTTTGGTGATATAGATAACCTCGGGCTGATCACATGCCCTCCGTGGGGGTGAAGACCCATTCGAACGTCTGCCATATCAACTTTCGGTAGTAGTCGCCGTGCCTACCATGGTGACCACGGGTGACGGGGAATCGGGGTTCGATGCCCGAGAATTTAAAAAAAAAAAAAGGAGGAAAAGCTTGAAAAACATGCCCAAGCCTCAAGCTGCAACACTGAAGGATGCTGTGGGCAAAATCTTCAAAGATGCAGGAAGCATCGAAAGACGTTTGGTACACAGCCATTTGTACCAAAAAGAATTGGTCGATACTGAAACATTCCAGGAAGTAGCATATGATCAAGGGGAAGGAAGGAAGAAGTTCAAGCCATACTAAAGGCATAAGCCAAAAATAAGACCCCAGAAATTGATGGAATACCAATCGGCATGTTTCAACACACAGATGCAGCCCTGCACATGTTTACCTGTCAATGCTAAAAAATGTGGAAGACCTGGCCAACTGACTGGAAGAGATATGTATTTGTTCCTATTAAAAAAAATGGTGATCCAACAGAATGTGGCTGTTATTGAAAAATATTATCATTATCACTAGTATTATTATCACATTATTATCACTATGAATGTAAAATCTTGCTGAAGATTATGTAAAAATTACTAGAAGAGTACATCTACAAGGAAATGTGACAAATTCAAGCTGGATTCACAAGGGTCCCTAGGTATGTCATTGCTGATATCAGATGATAAGCAGAAAATACCTGAAAGATGTTTACATGTGTTTTATTGACTATTAAAAGGTTTATGACTGTGTGGATTGTAATAAATTAAGGCCAACATTGAGAGGAATAGGAATCCCAGACCACTTAATTGTGCTCATATGAAACCTACACTTCGACCAAGAAACTACTGTTAGAACATAACAGGGAACATTGCATGGCTTAAAATAAAAAAAAAAAGCAGCTGTATTTTAGGATTGTAATCTCTCTCCATGCTTACTCAGTCTGTATGCTGAGCAAATAATTCAAGAAATTGAACTATATGAATAAAAATGTAGCAATAAAATTGGAGGAAGACTCATAAATAATCTGCATTATGTAAATGGCAGTCCTGCTTGCAAAAAGTGAACAAGACTTGAAGCACTTACTGAAGTTCAAAGACTACACAGTCTTCAATATGAGTTCCATCTCAAGATGAAGAAAACAAAAATCCTCACCAATGGAACAATAGGCAACATTAAGATAGATAAAGATTGCAGTTGCCAACTATTTCATCTTACTTGGAATCACAATCAAAACCCACAGTAGGGGAGCTCTGGTGGCCTAGTGGCAAGAAACTGCACTGCAATACCAAAGGCACGTGGTTCGAATCTACCAGATGCGCCACTGGAGGAGGGGCAATCTCCCCCTGTGCCAGTCAGATCCAATTCGACGGTACACAACCAGAAAAAAACAAACAACAACCCACATTATTAAACAGAAATCTGGTTGGCTCTACGGTCAATACTCTTGGCACCAGTAGCCAGGAAATAAAAAAACATATTGCAATGGGAAAGTCTGCTGTTAGGGACCTCTCTAAAGTACTCAAGAGCAACAGTGTCACTCTGGAGACTAAGGTGTGTCTGATACAGGCCATAGTCTTTGCAATCACTTGTTATGCGTCAGAGAGTTGGACAATGACTAGAGAGAAGGAGAATTGATGCCTTTGAGCTGTGGTGCTGGAGAAGAGTATTGAATGTACCCTGGACTGCCAAGAAAACAAACAGATTCATCCAGGAGAGGGTTAAACCAGGCTGCTCCTTGGAGGTAAGGATTCTGAGACTTCGTCTGACATACTTTGGACATGTTGCAAGGAGGGAAAGGCCCTTGGAGAGGGACATAACGCTTGGGAGGGTGGAGGGACGACTCAAGAGGGGAAGACCCTCTATGAGGTGGATTGATTCAGTGACTGGGGTAATTGAGATGGGTGTGTCGGAGACAGTGAGATTGGCACAGGACAGAGCAGGGTTTAGGGCTGTTGTACATAGGGTCGCTATGAGTCGCAAGCGAATCAACGGGATATAACAACAACATAACAGCAATAAAGTAAAGACATGTTACAGTGGGGAAATTTGCTGTCAAGGAATTCTCCAAAGTGCTAGCTAAAGAATAATGACATCCATTTAAAGACAAGGTGATCCAAGCCATGATCTTTTTCAATGACTTATGGGTCTGAAAGTTGAACAGTGAATAAGGATGACAGAAGAAGAGATGCTTGTTGGAGTACCAAAAAAACAAACAAGTCTGTCTTGGAGAAAAATATAAGCAGAGTGCTCCTTGGAAGCAAGGATGGTAAAACTCAATCTCACACCCTTGGGGCAGACATCCTGCTGGGAAAGGTGAGAGGGAGCCAGGAAGACCCTCCCTCAACAAGGAGTGACACTGGGACTGGAACTATGGGATCCAGCATGACAGGATGGCTCAGGAAGGGACACAGTTCACACCTGTTGTCCAGAGGGTCGTTCAGAGTTGTAGGTGACAGATGGCATCCAACAACAACATATCATGTGACCAGCTATGGGCTCAGTTCAGCCCTCCAATAGGATTTCTTTGGTGAATTTTTCTCTTTTTTTAAATCAGGGATTTCCCAGCACCACCTGGAATTCTCGTTTTCTGCCCATCAGTGAGTAGCGGCAGGTGAGTGGCAGCGGCTCCCTGGCGCTCGGCCTTCATCTCCGGCTCCCCCGGAATCACCACTCCGCTGTCTCTCAGCGCTGACACCATTCACCCTCCCCAGTTACCCTGCTGGAGGACATGCCCAGCACTTCATATATTTCCAATTACAGCCCTCTTCTCTCATTCTTATTACCTGTCTGTTCGTCAGGCACCCGAAGCAACGATACTTACAAAAGAAATAGAGAAAAAGTTCAGAAAGAAATGCTTCAGAACATTTACATGACAAAGACAGCAGATTTTTTTTATTTTCTTCTTTATACTCTTCTACAATTTCCAAATACTCTACAAAGACTATTTCCTCATCTCCCTTAAATACTCAAAAGACAAACAGTTCTTAAAAAAGAAAACCCTCTCCATTTTTAAAGGCTGCCATCAAGTGTAGCCTCCTACGTGAAGTCTTCCTGGATTCCCAGCCAAGGATGATGGTTCCCTGCACCTGTGCGTGTAGCCCCAGGAGCACTTGTCTAGTGCTTGTTTCGTACACTCAACCAAGAACTCACCGAAAGGAGAGGCTGGCACTGTGTGCCCACCTCCTAGTCCAGGGCTGGACACACAGCCAGAATCAACAGTGACAGACAACTGAGGGTGTACTATGTGGCCTCCAAGTACTCAGAGACGACCCCTGGGTTCTAGGCCAGCGTCATCAAGGGAGACGCGTCTAAATCTACGGAGTGCTGGAGTGGAGCGTATAAATGTTACTGAGATGCTCTTGAAGTAAGAGGTTGGCAGGTGTGAGCAAGATTGATCCATCGTATGGGGTCCCAGCAGGTCAGATGGACCAGTTCAGCCTAGATCATCTAGACTGAGCCTGAGTCAGAGACAGGCAGAGGCCTGTGCAGTAGAAAAAAGGTTTACGGCAGGCACCTGGTGGCTCTTAGAAATCAGCACCCCAAATACAGCATTGGAGTTGGGGTCCCTAGGAGGTTAGGGAAGTCCAGAGGGGAAGAGGAAGACAGGGGAGTCCTGAGGAAGGGGAAAGGTGGGTGGGGTTTAAAAGGAGAGTGAGGTCTGAGGGTCCTGGGGCAGGGGGACTTGGAAGTTAAGAGGGAGGCTGGGAGAGGGTTCGGGGAGCAAGGAGGGGGTCTGGGCTGGGAGGTAGGAACGCGGCCACTGCTCGAGGGAGGGGGCCCTCCTACTCCAGGGCTGCTTACAGCGCTGTCCGGCCTCAGGTTGAAGTGCCAGGGACTGCAGGAGCAGTGGCCAAGAGTGTCCCTTGGCAATCCTCCCAGACAGAGAGCCACCAAGGGCACATTCTGCCCTGGAGCAGGGACACGGGCTGAGAACACACTCTTTCATCCCCAAGTGAAGCCTGATCTGCGACCCAGCCCAGAGGCTGGCTGGACTCGAGAGGTGACAAGACAGAACTCCATCCCCAGTGAGGGTGCTGGGGTGACCTCACAGCCAGAGTGGCCAGCCTCACATTCCCAGGCGCCTCCGGAACTGGACCCAGAGCAGTGTTGTCCCCATCTCATTCAGAAAGCCCAGCTGGGGAGTCTGGTGGCCATGACAACAGCCCCACCTCTCTGAGGTCCTTTCTGGGCCTTCTCAGTTCCCAAGGCCCAAGGCAGGGCTCTGCTGTGGGATCACAGACCGTGGTGAGGAGGCCCTCTTCTCTGCTTCCTCACCCTGGGCAGGAAGGAGGGCTAGAGGCCTAGATGCGGCCAGATGAGGTGCTGCCCGAGCTGATGGGGAGCCTGGCGCTGTCTGAGCTGCTCTTCAGAGAGGAGGGGCCACCGCCCCGGGCCTGTAGTCGCATGGACCAGTACCAGAGGAAGATGAGGAGACCTGGGGGAACGGAGGAGGCACGAGGCTTAGAGCCGGGGCACTGAGCCCACGCTGCACCTGGACTGAGCCACCCCTCCACCCGCTCCTCAATCTGGACATCCCGTCAATGCCACCCCTCAGGGAACACCGCTATGCACATCCGCTCACTTTATTCCCTCCCCAGCCCTTCAAGGACATGTTCACAGTCATTACATTTTACAAAGAGACTGACACCCAGGGCGGTCGCAGGCTTGGCTGAGCCAGGTGTCACAGCGGCAGCAGGGTCCCTGGCCCACCTGTTTATCCAACACCTCATGCCATGAGGGAGTTCTGGTGGCATAATTCGTAAGGAGTTACACAGCTAACCCAAAGGGGGCACCTTGCTAGAGGTTCAAGTTCACCAGCAGCCCCTCAGGAGAGAGATGGGCAGCTTCCTCCCATGTGATTTACAGTCTCTAAAAACCCACTGGCGGGAGGGTTAGCTGTCAGTCAGCTCTGACTCAATGACATGAGCTTGTTTGAGTTTGTATAGGAAGTAACTCTCTGACCTTCTCAGGGCTCGGTCAGTTTGGCTGAGTGAATTATCATCTGCAGAGCCCCTTTCTTCTTTCTTCCTTCCTTCCTTCCTTTCTTTCTCTCTCTCTCCCTCCCTCCCCC